CGGGGGGCAGGAGGGGGACGGGGGGCAGGAGGGGGGGCAGGAAGGCGTTTTGTTTGTTTTGTTTTTAGCGGCAGTGCGAGTTACAATCATAGCAGCAAACCAAACCGATCTGCTGCTGGATGAGGTACTGTTAGCTACATGATGCTAATGTGACGTTTAGCTTGCTAACAGGCTACTGATGTCATCCATGTTCTGGTTACACTGACTGGAGTAACTTTTTGTTTTCGTACGTTTTATGTTTAGGCTCCAGCAGCTGCAGCTGGATCTAAACTGGGTGAATTAAATGATGCTAAAAATCTTATCTGAAGATCTGATTATGATTTGTTTTTAGTTGTAAAATCTGATTTTCTGAGGTCAAAGGTCAGACCTGAAACTTCCAGGTTGAAAGCAGATTTGTCTCACTATTTGCAGAGAAGCCAGTGGATGTTGTCTCCTTCTCAGCCTTAATTAATGCATAATAAACAGTTATTAATGACTGATAAACTGTTTACAGATGAACTCGAGGTCGTCTGTAAAGCGGTTCTGCTTCCTGGACTGACCGGGCCTCCCCAGCACGCGCCGTGGATCCAGCCTGAGGAGCAGGTTTCAGGCTGAGCCGGCACAGAACGGATAACGACAGGATATTTGGGCTCCTCTGCAGCGAGGTGCTGATGATCTGCTGCTGTGTAAACAGCCCCGGGGGGGAAACCTGAGGTGGGAAAACCGGCAAGTAGCAACATCTGCAGCATTCCACTGTAAGACAGCAGGGAGGCAGCAGCCGGTTCCCACACGGGACCAAGACGGGTCCGATCTGCAGGAACCTCTGCAGACGGATCCAAACAGCGAATACGACTGTGATCAGGATGACGGTTATTTATCCTGTCATCAGCACGAGGGTTCAGCCTTCAGCCATACTTTCATTTATAAACATTATAGCTAAGCGCCAAGCTAACACGGATCACTCTGTGTACTCAGCTGGTTAACTAAATATTTAGTTTAACTAAATAATTATTTTATTTTTCATGTATGAATAACATGATGAAAATATGACTTAAAGATGAAACTCAATTTTTTCTCTGTAAATGTTTGGCTGAGTAGCGTTGCCATAGCGACGCCAACACCTCTGCACCACTGAAGCGTTTCAATTCAGCCAAATTTAGTCTTGAAAACCAGAAATGACTCAGTTAAGTTACCGCATCACTTCCTGTTTCATGAACAGGAAGTGCAGCTTCATCATTAGGCCTGCTCCTCTTCCTCACCTCTCAGAGCGTCGCCGTGGGTGACGTCACACTGGATGAACGTGCTCCTTCCTTCCCCGAACTCAGCGTCCAGCTGGTTCTGGCACTGCTCCCCCACTGTCTTGTTCAGGTCCACCACGGCCACCTGCAGGACCAGGATGCAAAAACCAGGTTCACATCACTGCAGGGGGCCCTGCTGCATTTCTCGGTACAGAGAAATGGAGCAAATGGTATTTCTAGTCGGCTTTTCTGTTTTTAAAAGGACTAGGGTTTAGTCTTGATGCAGACTTTGGGTCTTCACTGCTCTTTCAACGCGCGGCGGGGCGCAGTTTGTTTTACCTGATTCCTGACGTCATCTGATGACGGGCAGGTAAAGATGGAGGCAGGTGGAGAGCTCAGCACGGCAACCAGAAAACGGAGGAGGAGGATAAAGATGCAGGGATGGAAAAAGTTTTTCAAACAGGCGAGTTATGGAGAGGAGGCCTGTCGATATTCAGGTGAAATGACGAATCGCTGCTGTGGGCTGCATTTGTAATATAATAAATTACAGCAATAAAAATAAAGAAATGTGGGTGTGCTGTGGTGGCGCAGGGGTTCAGCACAACCCACATTAGAGGCCTTAGTCCTCAACGCAGCTGTCACAGGTTTGATTCCCGGCCTTGGCGACCTTCACTGCATGTCTTCTCTCATTACCCAGTTTCCTGTCAATTAACTATCAAATAAAGGCCACTAGAGCCAAAAAGTCTTAAAAAAACAAAAAACATGTTAGTGTCTTCACTGCAGCGCTGCTTGGATGATAATCAGTTGCAGCCATTATTTAAGAAGGAAATATTTTACAATGTTTTACATATGTTTACATTTCTCAAAATAGTTTCACTCAAAGAAAAAGTCAGAAGAGACACGAAGGCAGCAGGTCAACATCAGGAGGAAGTTTAGGAGCAGACTGGATCCTGCTGCTTCATTTTAAATCAGTGTTTAAGAAGTGCATCTATAATTTGCTTAAAGTTAAGAAATGATACTTTTTTTAATCAGACGACTTGGCAGAGAAGAACGCAGCCTTGACCCAGTTAGCAGGTACTGAAAACTTTAACCTGTCATTAGGTTTGACACCCCAGGTTAACGGTTAACCTGTCATTGTGAATGACAACCTGTGAATGACAGGTTAACTGGACCAACAGGCGAAAGCAAAGAGGAAAATGTAGCGATTTGTTAATGTTCCTGTCAGGTTCACACCAGATGAGAGACGATCAGCTGATCCTTCAGCAGCTTCCTGCTCTGCTCAGCTTCTTCTTATATATATATATATATATATATATATATATATATATATATATATATATATATATATATATAAAGGTGGTGGAGAATGACCGAGCTAAGATCCTGTGGGACTTCCAGATCCAGACAGACAAGATGGTCAAGGCGAACCAACCGGACATTGTGGTGGTGGATAAAGAACAGAGGAAAGCCGTTGTGGTGGATGTAGCAATACCAAGTGACCACAACATCAGGAAAAAGGAGCATGAGAAACTGGAGAAATACCAGGACCTCAGAGAGGAACTGGAGGAGGCCTGGAAGGTGAAGACCACAGTGGTGCCTGTGGTCATCGGGGCCCTTGAGGCAGTCAACCCCAAACTGGAGCAGTGGCTCAAACAGATCCCAGGAACAACATCAGACATCTCAAGCTCCCAGGCCTCTGGTAGAGGACCCGAGCTCAGAGGATGAAAGAGACCCCCCACGGAGGGTGAGAGGGGAATTTTTATATATATATATATATATATATATATATATATATATATATATATATATATATAACATCTAATATGTCAGAATATCTGATTTTGGATTTTCCCATAACAGAGGGAATATTCTCTCTCTTACATCAACACAGTCATCTTTAAATGCTTTACAATAATAATAATAATATTAATAATAATATCATTTTAGCTACATAAAGCACACAATCGTCTCACTTTGATCTAAGAGGAAGTGAGAGTTGGCTGAAGGAATAATATTAATGTTATTTTCACAAAATAATTTTCGGTTTTACTTGATTCATTTTTTTAATGTTTATTTTTATTTGAGTGAAAATATGCTGCTGTAGTGCTGTGCTACCTGAGAACATTTTGATGAACTTTACGCACCTCTGCTTACAGCAAGACATGAAATAAGTCTGAAATGAAAGTACTTTATTTTATAAATCCACTAATAAATCAGGTTTATGTCCCTGCACGTTGAAAAGCCTGGACCCGAATCAGTTGCTGCGTTTCCATTACAAATGTGCACAAATCTTTGTACATATGCTAGTAATGTCAAAAAAACAATTTTGTAATTATGGTGTTTCCTTTAAATATGAAATGAAATTAAAAATCATGGCAGCTATGGATGTAGGCATTTAGATGACACATGTTCACAATTCAGCCAATCAGAGGAGACGTTGGAGCGACAAGCCCCGCCTACGGCCATTTTACAGAAGAGTTATGTGTTCAACATGTTGGAATGACAGCAGTTTATGAGCTGCATGCTGTCGGAGTTCCAAAAAAACAAAACAAAAAACCGCCATCCTCCTACTACTTCCTGTTATCTTCTTCATGGTTTTCACCAGTAGCATCCGGTTGTTGATCAGTGATTTAAATGATGCGGAAAAAAGCGTTTTGCCAAATATATCCGTTTTGATTCCACCTCATCTTGGCGCAAAAACACAATTTTTTTTTAAATAAAAAAAAAATTCTTTATTTTTTTTAAATTGATGTTTCCTTTAAGCGATTTTTTTTAATTTGTGCAATTTTATGGTTAATGGAAACGCAGGTAATGACACGGAGCAGCGGACCCACGGAACCCGGTTTGAGACGGAGCGGATCGGAGCATCAGCAGAACAGGAAGCCGGTTCGGTTTTATCAGACCTGCGGTTTCACAAGTTCTGCTGCTGAGACGGTTCTGATACCGGTTCCCTGCATGTGTGAAGGAAACTTATCAGAAACATGCAAACTTCTCTAAAAGCAGAACTGCGCGTCAAGCCCCCGCGCATTAACAGAACCAGAACCAATTCGGCAGAAAGTGCGACCAGAAGTTTTAAAAGCAGGAAAAAGTTAGATGTGATCAGAAAGCAGCTGCAGAGGGAGCAGAACGTGAAAGGCTCCAGGGTCGGAGCCGAACCTCGGCGTAGAACCGAACCTTGGCCGAGCTCTTCAGCAGAGACTGAACCGCTGCCCTCCCGATGCCCTGAGCTCCTCCGGTCACCAGAGCCACCTTCCCGGCCAGAGACATGATCGACACCGGCGTCGCGCTGCCGTCCTCCCGCTGCGGGTCTGAGCGCACTCCGCGCTGCGCTCGCTGCTTTTCTCCTCCTCCTCCTCCTCCCTTCTTCATCTCCTCCTCCTCTTCTGTCTGTCTCCTTGTCAAATTAATGGTAGAAAAATGGCATTTTCACCATAATATCACATTCTTCATACAGCAAAAATAATCGCTAGATTAGCTAAAAGTAAAAGACTGTAAGTGTGAGCAGCTAACTCTGAATCGGACTCAAAACGAAACACCAACCATGGGGTGTCCAAAGTCCGGCCCGGGGCCATTTGTGGACCCTGGATTGATTTTGTGTGGCCCACAGAAACAGAAAACATGTTACAGACCAATTAAAGTGTTACAACAGAGATCAGAGCCCAGGTTTTTGTGCCATTTTGGGGGAACCACATCTATCTACCGGCTTTGATGCACTCAGATCTGCTTTTAATGACTTTATTAAACATATATACTTTTAAACAAAATGACCTAAATCTATGTTTTATTGCTCAAAATTAACATCTTTAAATTATTTTCAGTAGCGAAATGTAAACATTCACAAATGAGGATCTACGATCATTTACACTTCCCTTTCCAAAGAAAATGGACTATTTTACTCTTTTTATTAAAATACTGCAGCCTTTTTGAAGAAGGTTAAAAGTTTAGAGAAACCAATCAACCTGACAGTCATTGTTCCTGGACTGGGAGGAACCCAGAGAACCCACCATAGACCCAGGCCAGGAATTAAACCCAGAACCTTCTGGCTGCAAGGCAGCAGCACTACCCACTGCACCACTGTGCAGAGAAAAGTTCATATTAGGAAAAAAACCAAAGGGACTGCACTGTTACCAAAATATAAAAACTGGGGATTAAATAACATTTAATGTGATACATATAAAAAATTTTAATCAAAAGAGGGAAAAAAATCTCTATAATCATGTAATATGAGAAACGGGATTAAATAATTCAGAATACATTTAGGTACACACTATTCAGGAAAACAGGCTGATACAGTTTAAAAAATGTTTGTAGGTCATTTTCATAGATTATGCTGGATTTCTTCCCTCATATCAGGAAGAGCGGCGCCCCCTACAGACCACCAGCCACCTCTGTGTGCACAAACATGTGTGTGTGTGTGTGTGTCCCAGTCAGAGGAAGGTTAAGTAAACTGTGCAGGATAATAATTACAGGTTGAATCCAGCAGCTCCTCTTCCTCCTCAGCCTCACATTCCTCCCTCGCCGCTTCAGTCCCGTTGCTCAAGCTGCAGGCCTGAGCGCCGCTTCTCCACAGCTGCAGGTCTCTGCTTGCTCCTGACGTCGCATCGGCCTGGAGAAACAGAGGCGCTCCGTCAGGCTTCCTGCGAAGAATCCTGGAATTATCTCAGGATTTACGGGGAGAATAATTATTTACACCTCAAACAAACCTTCCTCTGTCTGCAGAGGCCAGCGATGCGCTCAGATGATCCGCATCCATCGGAGCGAGGCGGGCCTGGACCGCTGCAGGTCGGCTTCTTTTGTTTGGCACTGAATAAAAATTATGAAAAAAGGAATTTTTCTAATTTCAAGAAATATTCTTGTTCTATTTTGAAAATTTAAAGTAAAAACGATGATAATGTTATCTCTAATTAAAACACCCATACAATTCTTGGGTGAAGTTGTGGTCCCCCTCCACACCAGTTGGTGGCGGTAGTGTATCGATTCCCATGTTTGCCAACTGACAAACATTAAAGGAGAGACCAGCACAAATGAATCACTGAAACGACATCAGGCTGAATAATTTGTACCATTTCAGAAACCAGAGCAGCACAAGCGGCTCCATCTATTTGCTGGTGGCCTTTTGTTTCTTTGGGTTTCGCTCAGGTCAATCAGAGTAAATGCAAAAACACGCCACACTTTTCAGATTTTTATTTCTAAAAGCACAGGTTTGTGTGTAGCGGTCCAGTTCTGGCCTGGTTCTGGTCCGACCCGGTAAAAACACTACAATTTGTGGTTTTAAACAAGAACAAACCAGAAAAAGTCTAAAGGGGTGAAAAGTTTTACATCAGCAATTTGTTTACCAACACAGATTCGGATCAGAACCAGCGGTCTGCTCCTCCAGATGTTCTGAGCGTTCGGATCATCAGAACCAGAACCAGAAACCCGGAATGAAAACCCGCTGGTTCTGTTTGCCGTCCTGGTTCTGCTGACAGTTCTGCAACTAGAACCGGACATCTTCGTCCTCCTCTTCCTCCTCTGCAGCTCAGACAGAAAATAAACATTAAAATAAATTCAGCTTCAACTGCAGGAAAATCTCATCACTGTAAAAAATAATCCGACTTTAACTCACGGGAAAAAAAAAATCACAAACAGGAAATATTTTATTTTATTTTATTTTACAAAGTCAGAATGAAGAGAAGTTTGGATCATTTTTCCTTTAAGTAATTTAAAAATTTTTTTTTTTTTTTACAATTTTACTGCCTGAATTTTTTTCTCTTTTATTTCAAACGGACAAAAATAAACATGAAATAAATAAAGTGCGTTGAAACAACTGTTGTGAATTGTTACTATATAAACAAACTGAATCCAATTGAATTGAATAAATTAATATAAAGAGAATAAATGTTTTTGTATTTTCAGTTATTTTTAAGTTAAAAAGTCAAAAATAATTAAAACTTTAATAACAGAAAATTTTTCCATCATTTGCAAAACAATAAAATAAATGAAGGTTTAAGACGGCAGTGAAAACCCGATGAGGACCAGGTTCTGGTTCTGGTTCTGGAGTGAGCGCCTCCTTCAGGCTCAGCTTTGACACAAAGGAGGAGAAACAAAGATGGCGACACAGAGAGAAACGTGCAAAAGTTTTGGGACAGAACTGAACCGGTGACGACAGAGGAGGAAGAATCCGGACCAGAACCCGTGAAGCGGTCCTGGAGGTTCTGGAGGTCCATCACAGATTTGGACAGGACCGGGGAGACGCTGCATCCGTCCCGGACTCCATCTTGGCTCGTCTTCAAAACTTCCTGTGGATCATCAGCGTCACTTCCTGAGTTTGGACGTTAAGTCAGACGATTAAAAACGTTAAAATAAATGAACAGAAGGACACGGCGTCCTCTGAAGACACGGCGTCCTCTGAAGACCACGCGTCCTCTGAGGACACGCTGTCTTCTGAGGACACGGCGTCCTCTGAGGACACGCCGTCCTCTGAAGACACGGCGTCCTCTGAGGACTCGTCCTCAGGGCTTGTGGACGTCTTCGTGTCTCAGGATCTTGTAGAGGACCCAGTAGAAGATGTTGAAGAAGAGGAAGGCCAGAGGGAACCCGGCTCTCGACACCGTGTCGATCTTCTTGGCCCGGTCGATGAACAGCTTCCTCATCTCCTCCGTGCTCCTTCCTCCTCCAGGTGCATTCTGGGAGATGCTGACAGCTCCCACGGCGTTGTTGGCGTTGACCTTGGTGTCCTTGGTGCTGCTGGGAGTGGAGGTCACCGCGGCCGTGGACACCGGCCGGCTCTCCTGGATCTCCACTTCCTGTGGGAAATACCAAGACAACAAGGTCAAAGGTTACACCAGTCAAGAGACAAACACTTTGTTTAAAGTCGTATCGACCCTCTGTCCACAACGCTCCTCAGGAAGTGGCTTTAGCTCCAGTAAAAACAGACAGTAATAAAATCGGGATAGCATCTGCACCGCGGTCTGATGGAGGTCAAACTGACCCATTTTCCTCACTTTCTTCTTCTACTACTCTCCAGTGTACATGACTTGTTGCTACTTCGATGAACATTTTGTCCTTTTTTAGGGTTCTTCCTGTTATAGGGGAGTTTTTCCTCTCCACTGTCGCCCCCTGCTGGTCATCAGGAGTAAATGCTGCAAGGCAACGACTCGACACTGCTGGGTTTCCTCAGGTAGAAACTTTTTAAACCAGTTAACAGAAATAAACGGAACTGAAGGAAACCCAGAATGTTTGAGCAGTAGAGAGGTATGTAAACTTCTGATTTTAATTTGTTTCGTTCATATTCCTCAGCAAACTAATTAGATTAATCCTGACTGACCTGAAAAAAGAGACATCTTGATATAAAAAGTGGAATATCTTCTGACTTTCTAAAGTCCGAAATCTGAGATGTGGAAGAACCGGTTCTTTTCCTGGATCAGAACTTCCCCTGGGTCCAGACTCGTTCTGATCCAGGTTTTAGATGAAATGTCGGATTTTATCATCTCAGGAAACTTCTGGGAGGGTCAGTTAGTTTTATCACTTTATAATTTCAGAAATTATTTTACTTTTAATATCTTAAATTTATGGCTTTAATAATAGAAAATGCTAATTATTTTCTCACATAAGTTTTTTCTTTTCTAAAATTAATTTCTGATCTTATGGCAGAAACGTCTTCCTCCTCTGGCCACCAGGGGGCAGACTGTAGAGGAAGCTGGTCTGAACTTTAACCCCATTTGTTCTCATGAACAATAATGCAGTGGCATCGGTTCCCAGAGACTCTCGGGTTTTAAAGCCATGGGGTCAGAGGTCAAACAGATCCTTGGCTCTCTGTTGGTTCAGGAAACTCAGGAAGTCCAAAGGGAGGCGCGTACGGCGGCCCGGTTGGGTCATGATGGCGACACATGCAGAGCGGCTTCGCCCCGAGGCCGCTGTTCATCCGGCTCTTTGATCCGTACGGCGGCGCCGGGACGGGGCCAGCGCTTCCGGGTCGACGGCGCCGTTCTACCGACCCACAGCGTGATGAGGACAGAACCACGAAGGAGAAGACACGGACCGGACCGGACCGGATCGGACCGGATCGAGCCAGCATTCAGTCAGCTCTGGGCAGTCAGCCAATCACTGACGGAGTCTCTCAGGGTCCGATTCAAGGCCAGGGACAGAAACAAGTCGTTCCTTTGACTAGGCCACACAGTTTGACCTGGACCTTCACAGACAGGAAGAGAACCCGAATGGACTGGAAGGCAGAACCAGAACCAAACATCTGAGTGCTGACCCGTTTATGTTCTGCACTAAAAACTAAGAGACCGGCTCAGTGGACGCTGGTCCGACCCGGATTGCTGAACGGGTCGATGGAGACTCAGACTACAGGAATAAAGTCAAAATATTAGAATAATATTAATATTTTATTTACACAAAAATAATGACACTGAGGAATGATGAGTGGAGTTCTGCTTCTGGATCCGTTTTATAAATACGGAAAAGTTTCAGGTCTTATCTGATCAGCAGAACTTTGAAACGATTCTGCAAACAACTGATTTGATTCAGAGGACAGAATCGGCCGCACTGAGCTGCAGGTCAGAGTAACTCTTTAAAATACTTTTTCTTGAAATTTTGCAGGTTTTTTCCAATATTCAGACTAATATTCATCGTAATAATAATATTTTTGGCCCTAATGCTGCGTGCCGTTATGAGGCGGGCGCCGGTCCGTTTCCTCCATGGTTCTGGTTCCAGTTCTCCATGTTGTTTACATCAGGAATCATAAACAGAGGAACCAGAGAATAAAAATGTGTCTGGTTTTTATTCCTCTGGTTCTGCAGAGGAGAGTCGACTGAACGCGGGTCGGTCCGATCCAAACATGCTTTGCCGCCGCGCTCATCCTGCCAGGATGAACGATACAGCTGGGGGTGATCACTACTCACACACACAAACGGCTGACAGCAACGGCACAGCGGCAGCGTTTGGCCAGCAGGGGGCAGCGTTCCCTCTCAGCGCTTGGTTTCCCACCTTGGTCTTGCTCTTGTGTTGGCGCCGGAAGCGCAGCAGCTCCTTGTGTTGCCTCGACACGAAGTTTACGGCGGCGTATTCCAGCAGCGCAGAGAAGACGAAGAGGAGACACACGGCCATCCAGATGTCAATGGCCTTTACGTAGGACACCTGGAGACACACCAACACACACAGTTAGACACCAACACACACAGACACACCAACACACAGTTAGACACCAACACACACAGTTAGACACCAACACACACAGTTAGACACCAACACACACTTCCCTCTTGTATTAAATTAACTACATTTTTATAAGATGGTGACCTGTTTACCCTTGTCAGTGTAGTTTAAGGTTTATTTTTCTTTAAATTAAAAAGACAAAGCTTGTTTTTAAAATAATTTTTATTGTATTACTCAAATTTATAAGAAAAAACAAAGATGTAGCTTCTTTTTAATATTTATTGTAATTATATCAGTTACATTTTCCTAGAATTATCTTTTAAAAATGAAAGCAGCTTCTTTTTCTAAATTAGTATAATTATATATTTTTTCTTGTTTTATTATCTTTTTGTTATAAAAAGAGAAAAAGCTGCAGCTTCGCTCCTGCAGCGATGGATTCAGTTCATCCTGGAGTGCAAAGTGCTGCTCAGCGGCGGGAACATGAGAAACCTCCTAACCGCTCTGAGGCCGCCGGCAGCAGCAGCGGAGTTACGCAACAGAAACAGAACAGACTGCCGCTCACGCTCCAGCAGGGCAGGAAGAGAGGAGCCAACGCTTCCTGGACGGTTCTGGAGGTCCGGCCCGGTGGACCGTCAGAAGCAGAGGAGTCAGAACTTTCTGCTCCTTCAGGTTCAGACTCTGATGACTCCACACCGCCATCTAGTGGCCAGGCAGCGGCTGTGCAGGAAGCAGGAAGCTAACGGTTCTGGTTCCTGTTGGACCAGCAGTTTGGATGAATAAATCCTGGCTCAGATATTTACATACACCTGGGTTTAAAAGACGAACACCTACAGCATTGTTCTGTTGAAGTTTTGATCACCCTGGCAGAACCGGCGGGTTTCTGGACCAGATCAGCTTCATCAGAACCGGGAAGGACTCCAGTTTGGACCCAAGCAGAAGAGTCCAAATGATAAAGATAAAACGATTTCTGATTCAGCCAGCACCAGTTTATACCGAGGTCTGCAAAACCCAGCTTTTATTTTGATAGTCCGCATTCGCTCAATGGCCAGCAAATTCACTTATAAGCAAAATATTTGGTTAGAAAGCTAAAAATAAATGTAGTTAAGAAGCTAAATATGTAGGTCTGAGCTAAATGTTTTGTTTGGAAAGTAAATAATTAATTTGTTAACTAACTATTTAGTTTGCTACTTACCTAACAAATTTTAAATATCTCCCATTTTGCTTGGAGTCGTTCAAGCATTTGGACTCCAAAATGGAGTCCTCTGCTGTGGACCTGTTGTGTTTGGGTCCAAAACGGAGGACTCCATATTGGACCCAAGCAGCAGAAATTATTACAGTCATGACATTAAAATATTTCTCTGGATTTTTCCTTCAGTTTTAAATCAGTTAAACAGTTTCAAGGTTATTTAAATAAAAACTTCATGTTTAGCTCTAGAATTAATTAATATTAATATAAAAATGAATATTAATAATCCAGGGCCCAAAACAGCAGCTCAGTCTGCTTATTCCTGGGGCTGGCTCGGTAGCGGGTCGGTGTGGCAGTTCTGGATCCATGGACGGGGGTCGGCCCAAAGATCCGACACATCCAGACATTCAGGTAGAACATCAGAACCTGAGTAGAACTGGTACCGACCTTGGGCAGCGAGGTTCTGGAGCCGGAGCTCTGCGTCGTCATGGTGAGCACGGTGGTGATGCCGAGCGCTACGCGGGCCGGCGCGGCGTCCATGTTGATCCAGAAGGAGACCCAGGACAGGATGACGATGAGAAGGGACGGGATGTACATCTGGATCAGGTAGTAACCCATCTGCCGCTCCAGGTGGAACCGGACCTCAATGCAGGTGAACTTACCTGCAATGCAGCCAGCGGTTACCATGGTTACACTCCAGATTAAAGCATTAATATTGGGTTAGAAATGCTTCAGTAAGAGGTTCTGGAGGCAAACAGAACTATATGTCGCTCGGGTAATGTTTTGTTTTTATCATTGTTTCTTTTCCTCTGAATATTTTCAATGTTTTAGCTGAACAGTTAGCCACTGTAGCAACATCTGCCCCTGCGGTCGAGTCAGAACCGTTCCGGTTCATGTTTGATTCACTCTTAGGTTGAGCAGCTATTAAAGTTTGGCTTCCTTGTTTATTCATTCAGTTCAGTTAAATATTTAATTTGTGAATTAAATATTTAGTTTAAAAAGATGACATCCACAAATGAATGAGTGATATGGTGGAAATATGACTTTAACACCTATTTTTTTCTCTTATAAGAGGCTAAATAAATCAAATTATTGCTGTTAATGTTTTACTGTGTAACTTTACAAACAGTTCCCCACCGGTCCGGTGAGATTCTGAGAATCTGTTAACTTTGTGAGCGTGTAGCTGCGGATCTGGAACAAATGGGATGAAACCGTTTGTGACAGAACCAGAACCGCCTGCTGCTTTCTGCCTGAACTGGGCTGATGGTTCTGCTGGACCTCCTCCCACTGCCGGCTCGCTAACCACAGAACCAAACCGCCGCTGACACCGTGTGGGGCCGGAGGTCACAGACACCTCGTCCATGCCGGCCCTATCCCTGAGTTCTGATCGGATCTGATAAAATCATCATCCAGGGCGTCAGGAAACCGCTTCTCCTCACAGCCGGCGGCACCAACGGAACGGATAGAACCTGGCAGCTGGCTGGTTCTGACACCGGTGGCCCGGCGGTGTGTGTGGCTTTGCATTTGATACACTGTAAGGACCATCTTACTAACACATGCCATACTGTTTTTGGGTTGTCCAAAATGCGGCCTGAGGGCCATTTGCAGCCGCTGGAACAATTCTGCGTGGCCCGCATCACAATTCTAGAACTGCTTAAATTCATATTGCCAGATGGTTTAATGCAGATAAACTTTTAAAAACGATGTTGGAGGAGACATTTTCACTGATGCCAGGCCTTTGTCAGTGACAATTGAACATCTTACAAGGGAAAATATGTTTAACAACACAAAGTATTCATCCAGGTTTCTGCTTTGAATTTTACTTACTTTAATAGTAAAAGAGACTAGAAAACATCCAGTGGCTTTTACTCAAATTCAGGCCTAAATATGGCTATTTTATTCGCTTGGTAAAGTCAAGCAAAAGTAGGGCATAGCCTGTTCATGTTACTAAAAATACACAATAAAAATGAGCAACCTGAAAAATTAGGAAATGGTTTGTTGTTATTGTTTTAAATCTGGCAAACCTGTGAGATGCTTTTTATGTTTTTAATCTACAATGATTTACAGAACTTTTGTCTTCAGAAATTTCATTAAGATGTTGAACTTGGCAAAAAGTTGGGACACCATGAGGTTGGGAGTTATGTGTAAATTAAATCTAGGCTAAGTTTAGGTTGTAGGAATAAATGGAAGGCAAGTGAAATGGAGGTCCCCATAAGTGATGATGAAACCAATTGTCCCAAGTCTTACTGTAAACCAGTGTATGTATGTGTGTGTGTGTGTACCGGTGTTGTAGTGCTTGGTGCAGTATCTGAGGTCCGACTCGTCCTTCAGAATGAACTGCGGCAGCGTGAGGCCTTCCGCCACCTGGACCGGCCCATTTTCCTGCCATTCGAAGATCAGGTCGTTCATGGTGTAGCCGACTGGAAAAGGCAGAAGAAGCGGGTCAAACAATCTCAAAAGTGAGACCCTCTGAAAGCAAAAACTACGCCAATGGACAAATTTTGAAAAACTCAACAAAAGTGGGCGGAGTCAAGAAATGAGGGACGTGGCTAAATGTGGAGATGAGGTCAAGAAGGGCTGTGGGAAACCTAGCAATGTTGTTGATAATTTAGCAACTCTTTGTTCAAAAAAGCAACAAATGTAGCAACTTTCAAAAAAGAAACACTGTTACCAAACTTAGCCATGTTTTTCTAGCCCAGCTCCAGACTCGCCACCAGGGGGCGTGTCTAAGTGAGATGGTTTTATACCAGAACATGGTTCTGAGTGATGTAGACACCAAACTGAACTGTTGGAACAATAGGACAATTTAACTGTAGTACCAACATTTGCCACAGAGGGCAGCACTGAGACGAAAATGTCACACTTTGCAGAGAAACAAAGATAAAACCCTTAAGGACCAACTTGGACATTTTATCTGCAGAAAACCAGTTGGTTGGTGGTTTAGTCCCACTTTAAAACCTCCAGGACGATTCCGTCCTCCATGTTTGTAGTTTTTTGTTTCTCATGAGAAAGTGAGAACGAAGCTCAACCTGAAATGAGACTTCCTGTTGCTCTGATTCTGATGGACCTGCTGTGGTTCTGCTGACCCGACCCAGAGTTCTGTTGGACCTGCTGCGCGGGCTTCCAGGAGCCGGGTGGTGGTTCTGGTTCTGCTCCAGAGCCATGCATTATGGATGCACTTGGTTCTGGTTCTGAAGGTTGATCCAAAAGGGAACAGGAAGTTTGTGCAGAGATGAAAGCGAACAGCAGGAAGCGCCTGCAGCTCCTTAAAGCGGCGGCGTTCTTCACTTCACATGATCTTAAAACCCAAATGCCTGAGGAGGAAACCGGGTCAGGTTCCACCAACCACCAGGTTTAAAAATTTACCTGATTTTCATTAGAATAATGTGTGATGTCAGCACCATCATCATCATGAGCACCTGATGAAAAGCGCTAGGACCTGCTGGTTCTGGTTTGACCCAGCAAAGTGACGCGTTTCCAGACTGAACTACAGCAGACAGCTGAGTCTGACTGGGATTAAAATGGATTATTTTAATAAAAACAAACGTTTCTAAATAAGAGCAGAAGTTAACGAGGCATCCAACATCCAACACGGCCCTGTTCTGCTTCCACAACGGTTCCAGACGTTCCTCTGATCCTGTTGGACTGATGAAGCTTCAGTTCTGTTATGAATAAACTGAATTTATTTATTCTTGCAGTTCTGACTGTGGCACCAACAGGACGGGTTCTGCTCATTCATGCTGAAACGGATTTATTGAGTGAAGTGAGACTCGGGGGTTGCCGGTTCGAACCTGCTGTCTGTGGCTGATCAGCGAGGCTTTGGAGTCCTCTGGGCTTGAAAAATCTCTAGAAAGTTCAATCTTCAGTTGTTTTCTTCCTTTTGCTCCATGTTACAAAGCAAAACGAAGACAACAATTTCCCAACCCATGCAAACCAAAAGAATATTAATTCCCAGCTTTTTTCATGTTTTTTCCAAACTCTTCCAAGTGTTTTTTCAGAAATTTCAAGGTTTCATAATTTCATAATTTTTTTCCCAGACTCTTCCAGGTTTTTCCAACTTTCTACAGGTTTTTCCAGACACTTCCAGGTTTCTGCAGACTCTTCCAGGTTTTTCCAAATTTCTCCAGGTTTTTCCAAACTCTTCCAGGTTTTTCCAGGCTTGCTCCAGCTGTCGCTCAGACTTGCCACCTGCAGCCTCAGGGAGGTCAGTAGCATTTCCACGTTCAGAACCAGAACTTAATGTAGCGAATGACGAAACGCAGTGGCGGTGCAGCACGCTCCTGACCACAGAGGCGGTTTCATGGGACTCACAGCTCTCCAGCTGCATGATGCAGGTCTGGACGTCCATGGGGAAGTTCTTCAGGTCCATGGGACACGACAGTGTCAATGTCAGTCTGCAGGACAAGAAGGAGATAACGGGTTAAGTTAGGCTCCATGTTGGAGAACAGAAGAGATGAAACCGATTCATCTGGACTGAGGATCAACGTTTGGAAGATACATTTTCTAAATCTGATTACATTTTTCTCTCTGCTCTGAGTCAAACCAACCTGTTCCCCTCCTGGCCTGTGGGGGCGCTGCACCAAGAACCACTGAAGGAAATGACACAAAAACCTCTGAAGACACTGAGAGCAACTTCCTTCTTCACCAGATGGAAACAAGATGGAGGCGTCAGGTTTTAGCGGTTGGAGGATTTCTCTTTAGGCTAAAGACCAGGAGCCATTTCTGCTGCTAGCGCTGGGCTAGCACGTTAGCTATGGTTGTATTTACCCAGAATGCCCTGCACTGTAGTCCACTTTCTGCTTTTTTAGAGGTCTCCGGTTCGCTTGGCGTTCACATTCAAACTGAACCCAGACCGAGGTCTGGAGGACCAGAGGTCAAAGGTCAATTAGCATTCACATTTTACCAACTGAACTGGACTTTGACTAGACAGACGGACTGGAGTTGGATTAAAGCGGGCTGAACAGAACCGGTGGGAATGGCGGAGCATAAAGTCAGGCGCAAGTAAAAAAAAAAAAGTTTTTTTCACCTTTAAGAAAATGTTTTTGCTCATGAGAGGAAAGGAAAAAAAAACAATGTGTAAAATTTGTCAGGAATAAAATACATTTTATTACATATGTTTAATAAAATTCAATAAAATAAAATAGAAGTACAATAAAATATGTTTTAATTGTATTTAGAAAAACAAAAGAGTTTCCGTAGAGTAGATCATCACTCCTAAACAGAAATTCCTTTTAGAGCAGTTAGTTGTTTCCCAGAGTATTTAAATGTTTGATCTCATGTATGTGCCGTGTCCCCACAGCCCAGGGCGGTTAACGTGTCGCATGTTATCCCGGCCCGTTCGGGTCGCTGTGCTCTGTTTGGGTAATCATGCAAGTTGATGCGGCGTTGCAGCCTCACAGCGCAGCTAAAGAATATTCCCCCACAGATTCATCGTCACAGCATAACACAGCCACGTAGTGCCACCTGGTCACCATGGAAACGCTCACTTCCTGCAGGAGTAAGGAACGCTGTGCCAGAGGCGGCCCAATCCTTCCTGGGGTCCTAAGCAGATTTTCATTTAGGCCCCCAACCCGTTAGCACCAGACACTTGATAATTCCTGCTGTTAGCATTAGCATCATTTATGATTAGCTTATATCATCCCAGTGTTATGATGGCTGCTACATTTAACTTTATATGAGAAACAACCCAAAGAAAATTATTTGGATTTTGAAATGCAGATCGGTATTTAAATGAGTTATATTATCTTAACTATTTGAAAGTAACATCAGCTAATAAACAATAAATTTACAGTAAACAATATAAAAAGTATTTTATATACTTTTTGGAAAGTGTTTTTCCATGGTAATAGCATTTACTTTGCCTTTTTCAGTGTTATTTTAACTACATGTATATAATTATCTTGCTAGCTTGGTGCTTTTGGGGGCCCCCTAGTGGTGTGGAGGCCCTCAGTCATGTGCCTTGGGCCGGCCCTGCTCTAATCTAATCTACTGTAATCTGAGAGATTTGGACCCACCGTATGGAGTAGAGCACGTTGCCGTTCTTGAAGATGCGCAGCAGCTTGTTGTCGGTGGTGACCTCGTGGAAGTGCGCTCCCTTCTCGTTGGCGAAGAACAGGTCCGGTTTCCAGATGGAGTCCAGCATGGACGGGTCCAGGTCCAGAGAGTCGTCAGGGTACTCGGCGTACGCCAGCCGCGGGTCGTTCCACTGCTGCCGCAGGAAGATGTTCACCCGGTAGTCCTAGAGGGAGACAACCGGGTCAACAGAACCAGAACCTCCACTCTGACCTCAGAGGAACATTTTGGGCGTAGAACCTGGCAGCAGACATGGCGAGTGGATCCCAGATTTTCTCCATCAGCTGTAATAGACCCTTTTCACATGACGTCAGACAATGGCCGCCATAACTCAAAACTGGGTTTCTTTACT